ACTGTGCAAAACCACTGCACAGAGCAGTAACTATGACATGTTTGTTAATTTTAAAGCAGAAATCTGGGAAAAAATGTTTTGGCCCGTGCAGTGGGGCTGTGCCAACGCTGCATGGGTCAAATGCTTGCTTTGTTCCTGGGTTGAGGACATCAAAGATATACTCACCTGACCCGCCAATCCTCCCCGCACAAGACCATTCCTTTTGGCTCCTGCTTCCCCCGTGGTCTAGCGGCCTTGTAAATGGGCTGCTCCTGATGTCAGCACACTCAATGCATTCTTCACAGACAGGGACAGTCTACCGCTGGACATGAGGGAGCATTGTTTTCTGTAGGATTGGCGGGTCAGGTGATTATGAGCTTAGTCCTCACCCCTAGAAAAAACAAGCAGCCATTCCATGCAGTTGGGGCACAACCGCACATCATGGTAAAAAAAAATAAACTGACGTTCTGCTTTAAACAAAAAACAAATCTCCCAATAATATCACTTTAAAGTGTACGTAAGTCCCTAAAGTGAATATCGGGCAGTTCAACAGGAAGCGGCCAACATTTGGCCCATGAGTACAGCAGCCGGTCTGACAGAAGGGGCATGAAACAAAAAGGTCTGCCGATTGGCTTCCGATCAGTGCTGGCAGCCAATGGCTGACAGAGCACTGGGCTGAGCGAAAAAAAACTTACAGTGTGTACAAGGCTTTACAATGAAATATGCTTATTGAATGTTTATTGTTATACTGTATCTATTTGATCATTTCAAAAATATCCATTGATATTGTGTTGTTGTGAACTGATAACTTCGTTCTGCCTGTGCTGACTGTTCTCATAGGCATTGTTCTTAGCTATCTTTGTGGTCTACAGAACCATTCACCCTCTATTTTATGAAGAATAGAAGAAGGGGAAGAGATAGGCCTATCTTGTTTCTCTTGTACTGATACAGAAGGGTGAGTGAGCATTGTCATCCTGGAACTGGAAGATTATTATAGACAAACTCATCAGGTAAAAATAAAAACCGCTTGAAAATAGAAAATGAATGCAGCCATCGCATCTAAGGACCGGTAAACTGCAATATTTTATTAGGTAAATGGTGCATTTTATATACAACTATATAAAGCCGACCCAAATGAGGAACAAATGATGGGAAAGGAGGACCAGAGGGGCTTTGTTTTAAATGAGGGACAGTCCCTCGAAATCAGGGACAGCTGGGAGCTATGATGTCTGTCACCAGTCTTTATATGCTGTATATATAGGAAAATAATTATTTGATCCCCCTGCCAATTTTTGTAAGTTTGCCCACTTACAAAGAAATGAAGGGTCTATAATTGTTATCATAGTTGTATTTTAAATGATAGAGACAGAATATCAACCAAAAATCCAGAAAAAAAATGATACAAACGTTATAAATTGAGTTGCAGTTCAGTGAATAAAATAAGTATTGTATCCCTTACCAACCAACAATAATTCTGGCTCCCACAAACTGGCTATGTGCTCATGTGGTGCACAGATTAGTCCCGTCAACTTAAGAAGGTGCTCCTAATGACAACTCGTTATGTGTAAAAAAGATACCTGTCCACAGAATCTCTTTCTTGGGCACCAACATGGGCAAAACCAAAGAACTGCCAAAGGACATCAGGGACAAGATTGCAGATCTGCACAAGGCTGGAATGGGCTAGAAGACCATCATCAAGAAGCTTGGTGAGAAGAAGACAACTGTTGGAGCGATTTTTGCAAATGGAAGAAATACAAAATAACCATCAATCACCCTTGGTCTGGAGCTCCATGCAAGTTTTCGCTACATGGGGTAAGGATAATTATGAAAAAAGTGAAAAATCAGCCCAGAACTACACGGGAGGAGCTTGTGAATGATCTCAAGGCAGTTGGGACCACAGTCACCAAACAAACCATTGGTAACACAATACGCCACCATGGATTGAAATCCTGCAGCGCCCGCAAGGTCCCCCTCTCAAGAAGGCACATGTACAGGCCTGTCTGAAAATTTTCCAGTCAACATCTAAATGTTTGGAGGAAAAACAATTGCTGACTATGACCCTAAGCACACCATCCCTACAGTCAAGCACAGAGGTGGGAACATTATGCTTTTGGGGTTGTATCTCTGCTAAAGGTACAGGCTGACTTTGCTGCATTGAGGGGCCAATGAACGGGGCCATGTATTGCAAAATCTTGGATGAGAACCTTCTCCCCTCAGCCAGAACACTGAAAATGGGTCGTGGCTGGGTCTTCCAGCATGACAGTGACCCAAAATATACCATCACAGTAAGGGCTCGTTCACACTAGGCTGTTTTGCCAACGCTTGCCAAACGCCCCTATAGCGTTTGGCAAGCGTTGGTCCGGCGTTTGCGGAGCGTTTTTTAACGCTCGGCAAACGCTCCGCAAACGCCGCATGCGCGGTTTAATGGCGGTTGCTAGGCGTTTGCCGAGCGTTAATAACGCCCCACAAACGCCTATAATGCAGTTTGAGTGGTGTTACCGCTCCGCAAACGCCCCGCAACCGCGTCGCAACCGCAACGCAAACGCCGGCCGGGCGTTTGCGGAGCGGCACCATAGACGAGAATAGGAGGCTTCAAAGCCTCCTGACTCGTCCAGAGGCGTCCGTTTTGCCGCAACGCAACGCGATGCAAACGCTCCCGTTAGAACAGCACCATGTGCTGTAATGTGCAGAATTGGCAGAGGCGTTTGGGAAGCGGTAAAAACGCTTCCCAAACGCCTCTCTGCCGCCTGCACACACAAGGCTAGTGTGAACTAGCCTTACAAAGAATTGGCTCAAAAAGAAGCACATATAGATAATGGAGTGGCCTAGCCAGTCTCCAGACCTTAATCCTATAGAACATTTATGGAGGGAGCTGAAACTTTGAGTTGCCAAGTGATAGCCAAGAAACTTCAAGGATTTAGAGAAGATCTGTAAAGGAGAGTGGGCCAAAATACCTCCTGAGATGTGTGCAAACCTGGTAACCAACTACAAGAAATGTCTTACCTCTGTGATTGCCAGCAAGGGTTTCTTCATCAAGTAGTAAGTCATGTTTTGCTTGAGGATCAAATACTAATTTTTACTCACTGAACAGCAACTCAATTTATAACATTTGTATCATGTGTTTTTTCCTGGATTTTTGGTTGATATTCTGTCTCTATCATTTTAAAATACATAATGATAAAAATTATAGACTCTTCATTTCTTTGTAAGTGGGCAAACATACAAAATCTGCAGGGGATCAAATAATTATTTCTCCCACTTTTTATATATATATATACAGTCATGGCCGAAATTGTTGGCACCCTTGATATTTCTCCAGGAAAATCATGTATTTCTCACGAAACGTATTGCATTAACACATGTTTTGCTATACACATGTTTATTCCCTTTGTGTGTATTGGGACAAAACAAAAAAAGGGAGGAAAGAAAGCAAATTCGACATAATGTCACACAAACCTCCAAAAATGGGCTGGACAAAAGTATTGGCACCCTTTCACAACTGCGGATAAATAAGAATGTTACAAGCATGTGATGCTCCTGTAAACTCACCTGGGGCAAGTAACAGGTGTGGGCAATATAGAAATCACACCTGAAAGCAGATAAAAAGGAGAGACGTTCACTTAACCTTTGCATTGTGTGTCTGTCTGTGCCACACTAAGCATGGACAACAGAAAGAGGAGAACGAGAACTGTCTGAGGACCTGAGAACCAAAATTGTGGCAAAATATCAACAATCTCAAGGTTACAAGTCCATCTCCAGAGAACTAGATTTGCCTTTGTCCACAGTGCGCAACATTATCAAGAAGTTTGCAACCCATGGCACTGTAGCTAATCTCCCTGGTCGTGGACGGATGAGGAAAATTGATGAAAGATTGCAACGCAGAATAGTCCGGATGGTGGATAAGCAGCCCCAAACATGTTCCAAAGACATTCAAGCTGTCCTGCAGGCTCAGGGAGCATCAGTGTCAGCGCGAACTATCCGTCGACATTTAAATGAAATGAAACGCTATGGCAGGAGACCCAGGAGGACCCCACTGCTGACACAGAGACATAAAAAAGCAAGACTACAGTTTGCCAAAATGTACTTGAGTAAGCCAAAAGCCTTCTGGGAAAACGTCTTGTGGACAGATGAGACCAAGATAGAGCTTTTCGGTAAAGCACATCATTCTACTGTTTACCGAAAACGGAATGAGGCCTACAAAGAACAAAACACAGTACCTACGGTAAAATATGGTGGAGGTTCAATGATGTTTTTGGGGTTGTTTTGCTGCCTCTGGCACTGGGGTGCCTTGACTGTGTGCAAGGCATCATGAAATCTGAGGATTACCAAAGGATTTTGGGTCGCACTGTAGGGCCCAGTGTCAGAAAGCTGGGTTTGCGTCCAAGATCCTGGGTCTTCCAGCAGGACAATGACCCCAAACATACGTCAAAAAAGCACTCAGAAATGGATGGCAAAGAAGCGCTGGAGAGTTCTGAAGTGGCCAGCAATGAGCCCAGATCTAAATCCCATTGAACACCTGTGGAGAGATCTTAAAATTGCTGTTGGGAAAAGGTGTCCTTTCCAATAAGAGAGACCTGGAGCTGTTTGCAAAGGAAGAGTGGTCCAAAATTCCGGGTGAGAGGTGTCAGAAGCTTATTGATGGTTATAGGAAGCGACTGATTTCAGTTATGTTTTCCAAAGGGTGTGCAACCAAATATTAAGTTAAGGGTGCCAATACTTTTGTCCAGCCCATTTTTGGGGTTTTGTGTGACATTATGTCATATTTGCTTTTCTGCCTCTGTTTTTATATTTGTTCCAATACATACAAAGGGAATAAACATGTGTATAGCAAAACATGTGTTAATGCAATACCTTTTTTGTGTGAAATACTTGATTTTCAGGAAAAAATCAAGGGTGCCAACAATTTCGGCCATGACTGTATATATATATATATATATAATATTATATTATATTGCCAAAACTATTGGGACACCCCTCCAAATCAGGTGTTCCAGTCCCCTCTATGGCCACAGGTGTATAAAATCAAGCACCTAGGCATGCAGACTGCTTCTTCAAACATTTGTGAAAGAATGGGTTGCTCTCAGGAGCTCAGTGAATTCAAGCGTGGTACCATAATAGTTTGCCACCTGTGCAATAAGTCCATCTGTGACATTTCCTTGCTATTAAATATTCCACGCTCAACTGTTAGTGGTATTATAACAAAGTGGAAGCAACTGGGAACAGCAACTCAGCCACGAAGTGGTAGGCCACGTAAAATGACAGAGCGGGGTCAGTGCATGCTGAAGTCACCAACTGTCTGCAGAATCAATAGCTAAAGACCAGATTAGCACTACAACAATGCGTAAAGAGGTCAAACGTTTCCTGTAAGTCTTCACAAGGTTGGCACACACTGTTGCTTGTATGTTGGCCCATTCCTCCATGCAGATCTCCTCTAGAGCAGTGATGTTTTGGGGCTGTCGCTGGGCAACACGGACTTTCAACTCCCTCCAAAGGTTTTCTATGCGTTGACATCTGGAGACTGGCTAGGCCACTCCAGGACCTTGAAATGCTTTTTACGAAGCCACTCCTTCATTGCCCGGGCGGTATGTTTGGGATCATTGTCATGTTGGAAGACCCAGCCACGTTTCATCTTCAATGCCCTTGCTGATGGAAAGAGGTTTGCACTCAAAATCTCATGATACATGGCCTCATTCATTCTGTCCTGTACATGGATCAGTCGTCCTGGTCCCTTTGCGGAGAAACAGCCCCAAAGCATGATGTTGCCACCCCCATGCTTCACAGTAGGTATGGTGTTCTTTGTATGCAACTCAGCATTCTCTTTCCTCCAAACACGACGAGTTGTGTTTCTACCAAACAGTTCTATTTTGGTTTCATCTGACCATATGACGTTCTCTCCCAATCCTGTTCTGGATCATCCAAATGCTCTCTAGCAAACTTCAGACGGGCCCGGACATGTACTGGCTTAAGCAGGGGGACACGTCTGGCACTGCAGGATCTGAGTCCCTGGCGGCGTAGTGTGTTACTGATGGTTGCCTTTGTTACGTTGGTCCCAGCTCTCTGCAGGTCATTCACTAGGTCCCCCGTGTGGTGCTGGGATTTTTGCTCACCCTTCTTGTGATCATTTTGACCCCACAAGTGAAATCTTGCGTGGAGCCCCAGATCGAGGGAGATTATCAGTGGTCTTGTATGTCTTCCATTTTCTAATTATTGCTCCCACAGTTGATTTGTTCACACCAAGCTGCTTGCCTATTGCAGATTCAGTCTTCCCAGCCTGGTGCAGGTCTACAATTTTGCTTCTGGTGTCCTTTGACAGCTCTTTGGACTTCACCATAGTGGAGTTTGGAGTGTGACTGTTTGAGGTTGTGGACAGGTGTCTTTTATACTGATAACAAGTTCAAACAGGTGCCATTGATACAGGTAATGAGTGCAGGACAGAGGAGCCTCTTAAAGAAGAAGGTACAGGTCTGTGAGAGCCAGAAATCTTGCTTGTTTGTAGGTGACTAAATACTTATTTTCCACCATAATTTGCAAATAAATTCTTTCCAAATCAGCCAATGTGATTGTCTGGATTTTTTTTTCTCATTTTGTCTCTCATAGTTGAGGTCTACCTATGATGCCAATTACAGGCCTCTCTCATCTTTTTAAGTGAGAGAACTTTCACAATTGGTGGCTGACTAAAAACTTTTTTGCCCCACTGTACGTGATTCGTGCTCCTGTGGTTTTCACGCCCCTCCCAGCTAGCGGCAGATTGCCTGTCAGTACACCAGTAATCACATTTACCCCTTGATTGCCAGAAGCATGCTCATACACAATAAACCTCCATTGCTAGTATAGTGTCTGAACAGATCAATATCTTTGATCAGATCAGCACTATACCACCATTCACATTAGTATAGCATCCCCAAAAACGCAGTGTTAGCAGGATCAGCCCCGGCACTTGCCAGCACTTTAGCCCCTACGCTTACCCCCCCTTCTCCCCCAGTAAGTGAAGTGTCAGTAGGTCACTGATACATTGCACACAAAACCGCAGTGTTCGCAGAATCAGGCCTGATCTCTGTTAGCACTTGCCGGTAAATTTTGATGACTCTCATATGCAGCAGAGTGCCAGTACTAGTGCCGCGCTACCATTTGGTGAACTGGCGAGCACCAGCAGCCTAGTACATCCTGGTCTTTCACATACCAGCACTGCAGTATCACTTGGTGACGTGGCGAGTCCCATAAGTGCAGTACAAGCTGGTGCGATGGCAAACACATGTAGTGTCCCGCAACCACCAAGAATTCGCAAACAGGCCCGTAGAGCCCCTAGTGCCCTTCCGGATGTGCTTGCAAGTCCAGATTGGCAGCCCACAAATTCTGCAGCACCCATACTTCCCCCATTCACCGCCCAACCCGGAATTCAGGTGGAAACAGCAAATTTAACTACTCCCCTTGATTTTTTGGAGCTGTTTTTCATGGAAGATCTGTATGCATTGATTGTGGATCAAAGCAATTTATATGCACAACAATTTATTGCCGCCAGCCCAAATTCAAACATTGCCAGACCATTCACATGGAAACACATTACGGTTTCTGAATTTACTTTTTTTTGGGGCCTAACCCTCAACATGGGCATTACTAAAAAAAATTAATTGCGGTTGTATTGGTCCACGCACCCGATTCATCATATGCCCATGTTCTCTGCTGCCATGGCCAGGCATAGATATCAGAGTATAATGTGTTTTATGCATTTCAATGACGATACACTCTGTCGTCCTCGGGGTGACCCTGAATTTGACAGGCTCCACAAAATTCAGCCCCTCGTAAATCACCTTACCCAAAAATGTGTCTATACTCCCTAGCAAAACATCTGCGTTCATGAGTCCTTCATTCATTTTTCTGGACGCCTTGCATTCAAACAATTTCTTCCCAGCAAGCGTGCCAGATATGGGGTCAAGATGTAGAATACCTGTGAGAGGGCAACAGGCTATACATATAAGTTTAGGATTTACAAGGGAGAAGTTTGCAGATCTGCACAAGGCTGGAATGGGCTAGAAGACCATCATCAAGAAGCTTGGTGAGAAGAAGACAACTGTTGGAGCGATTTTTGCAAATGGAAGAAATACAAAATAACCATCAATCACCCTTGGTCTGGAGCTCCATGCAAGTTTTCGCTACATGGGGTAAGGATAATTATGAAAAAAGTGAAAAATCAGCCCAGAACTACACGGGAGGAGCTTGTGAATGATCTCAAGGCAGTTGGGACCACAGTCACCAAACAAACCATTGGTAACACAATACGCCACCATGGATTGAAATCCTGCAGCGCCCGCAAGGTCCCCCTCTCAAGAAGGCACATGTACAGGCCTGTCTGAAAATTTTCCAGTCAACATCTAAATGTTTGGAGGAAAAACAATTGCTGACTATGACCCTAAGCACACCATCCCTACAGTCAAGCACAGAGGTGGGAACATTATGCTTTTGGGGTTGTATCTCTGCTAAAGGTACAGGCTGACTTTGCTGCATTGAGGGGCCAATGAACGGGGCCATGTATTGCAAAATCTTGGATGAGAACCTTCTCCCCTCAGCCAGAACACTGAAAATGGGTCGTGGCTGGGTCTTCCAGCATGACAGTGACCCAAAATATACCATCACAGTAAGGGCTCGTTCACACTAGGCTGTTTTGCCAACGCTTGCCAAACGCCCCTATAGCGTTTGGCAAGCGTTGGTCCGGCGTTTGCGGAGCGTTTTTTAACGCTCGGCAAACGCTCCGCAAACGCCGCATGCGCGGTTTAATGGCGGTTGCTAGGCGTTTGCCGAGCGTTAATAACGCCCCACAAATGCCTATAATGCAGTTTGAGTGGTGTTACCGCTCCGCAAATGCCCCGCAACCGCGTCGCAACCGCAACGCAAACGCCGGCCGGGCGTTTGCGGAGCGGCACCATAGACGAGAATAGGAGGCTTCAAAGCCTCCTGACTCGTCCAGAGGCGTCCGTTTTGCCGCAACGCAACGCGATGCAAACGCTCCCGTTAGAACAGCACCATGTGCTGTAATGTGCAGAATTGGCAGAGGCGTTTGGGAAGCGGTAAAAACGCTTCCCAAACGCCTCTCTGCCGCCTGCACACAAGGCTAGTGTGAACGTAGCCTTACAAAGAATTGGCTCAAAAAGAAGCACATATAGATAATGGAGTGGCCTAGCCAGTCTCCAGACCTTAATCCTATAGAACATTTATGGAGGGAGCTGAAACTTTGAGTTGCCAAGTGATAGCCAAGAAACTTCAAGGATTTAGAGAAGATCTGTAAAGGAGAGTGGGCCAAAATACCTCCTGAGATGTGTGCAAACCTGGTAACCAACTACAAGAAATGTCTTACCTCTGTGATTGCCAGCAAGGGTTTCTTCATCAAGTACTAAGTCATGTTTTGCTTGAGGATCAAATACTAATTTTTACTCACTGAACAGCAACTCAATTTATAACATTTGTATCATGTGTTTTTTCCTGGATTTTTGGTTGATATTCTGTCTCTATCATTTAAAATACATAATGATAAAAATTATAGACTCTTCATTTCTTTGTAAGTGGGCAAACATACAAAATCTGCAGGGGATCAAATAATTATTTCTCCCACTTTTTATATATATATATATATATATATATATATTATATTATATTGCCAAAACTATTGGGACACCCCTCCAAATCAGGTGTTCCAGTCCCCTCTATGGCCACAGGTGTATAAAATCAAGCACCTAGGCATGCAGACTGCTTCTTCAAACATTTGTGAAAGAATGGGTTGCTCTCAGGAGCTCAGTGAATTCAAGCGTGGTACCATAATAGTTTGCCACCTGTGCAATAAGTCCATCTGTGACATTTCCTTGCTATTAAATATTCCACGCTCAACTGTTAGTGGTATTATAACAAAGTGGAAGCAACTGGGAACAGCAACTCAGCCACGAAGTGGTAGGCCACGTAAAATGACAGAGCGGGGTCAGTGCATGCTGAAGTCACCAACTGTCTGCAGAATCAATAGCTAAAGACCAGATTAGCACTACAACAATGCGTAAAGAGCTTCATGGAATGGGTTTCCATGGCCGAGCAGCTGCATACAAGCCTTACATCACCAAATGCAATGCGTCGGATGCAGTGGTGTAAAGCACACCACCACTGGACTCTAGAGCAGTGGAGACGTGTTCTAAGGAGTAAAGGTACATATTCACCAGCACACCATGGATCTCCAATGTGGTCCAAAAAAGGTTTTTATTGCAAAAAGATCATATCAAAAAAAAAAAAAAAAACGTTTCGGAGCCGCAGAGGACCCCTTTGTCAGGCATGTGACATCACATTCCGGGCGAAGGGGTCCTTCATGGCTTCGAAACGTTGCACTTTCTTTTGTGATGTGATCTTTTTTGCAATAAAAACCTTTTTGGACCATACTTGTTTCCAGTCCCAGCTTGTAGTTGCTACAGCACCCTCCATTGATGAGTCGTACTTCCAGGAATGTGTATGAGAGGAATATAGATAAAGGTATTCTCTGGAGTGACCAAAATCCCAGTATACCACCATTTGTAGGTGCTATAACTTTCACGTAAACCAATTAGTTTACACGTATTGGCATTTTTTGTAGCAAAGACATGTTGCAGAATACATTTTGGCCTAAATTTATGCCGAAATTTGATTTTTAAATTTTTTTACTGTACATGTTTTATAGCAAAAAGTCCAAAATATTGTTTTTTTCTCAAAATTGTCGGTCTTTTTTTTTATAGCGCAAAAAATTAAAAAATGCACTGGCAATCAAATACCACTGAAAGAAAGCTCAATTCTTGGGAAAAAAAAGGACGTAAATGTAATTTTGGGGCAGAATTGCATGACTGCGCAATTGTCATTTAAAGTAACTCAGCGCTGAAACACAAACCGCTTCTGTAACCTCTTCCTGACCGCCCTATAGCAGAAGTATGCAAAATGACGTATATATACAGTGGGGCAAAAAAGTATTTAGTCAGCCACAAATTGTGCAAGTTCTCCCACTTAAAAAGATGAGAGAGGCCTGTAATTGGCATCATAGGTAGACCTCAACTATGAGAGACAAAATGAGAAAAAAAATCCAGACAATCACATTGGCTGATTTGGAAAGAATTTATTTGCAAATTATGGTGGAAAATAAGTATTTGGTCAATATCAAAAGTTCATCTCAATACTTTGTTATATATCCTTTGTTGGCAATGACAGAGGTCAAACGTTTCCTGTAAGTCTTCACAAGGTTGGCACACACTGTTGCTTGTATGTTGGCCCATTCCTCCATGCAGATCTCCTCTAGAGCAGTGATGTTTTGGGGCTGTCGCTGGGCAACACGGACTTTCAACTCCCTCCAAAGGTTTTCTATGCGTTGACATCTGGAGACTGGCTAGGCCACTCCAGGACCTTGAAATGCTTTTTACGAAGCCACTCCTTCATTGCCCGGGCGGTATGTTTGGGATCATTGTCATGTTGGAAGACCCAGCCACGTTTCATCTTCAATGCCCTTGCTGATGGAAAGAGGTTTGCACTCAAAATCTCATGATACATGGCCTCATTCATTCTGTCCTGTACATGGATCAGTCGTCCTGGTCCCTTTGCGGAGAAACAGCCCCAAAGCATGATGTTGCCACCCCCATGCTTCACAGTAGGTATGGTGTTCTTTGTATGCAACTCAGCATTCTCTTTCCTCCAAACACGACGAGTTGTGTTTCTCTACCAAACAGTTCTATTTTGGTTTCATCTGACCATATGACGTTCTCCCAATCCTGTTCTGGATCATCCAAATGCTCTCTAGCAAACTTCAGACGGGCCCGGACACATGTACTGGCTTAAGCAGGGGGACACGTCTGGCACTGCAGGATCTGAGTCCCTGGCGGCGTAGTGTGTTACTGATGGTTGCCTTTGTTACGTTGGTCCCAGCTCTCTGCAGGTCATTCACTAGGTCCCCCGTGTGGTGCTGGGATTTTTGCTCACCCTTCTTGTGATCATTTTGACCCCACAAGTGAAATCTTGCGTGGAGCCCCAGATCGAGGGAGATTATCAGTGGTCTTGTATGTCTTCCATTTTCTAATTATTGCTCCCACAGTTGATTTGTTCACACCAAGCTGCTTGCCTATTGCAGATTCAGTCTTCCCAGCCTGGTGCAGGTCTACAATTTTGCTTCTGGTGTCCTTTGACAGCTCTTTGGACTTCACCATAGTGGAGTTTGGAGTGTGACTGTTTGAGGTTGTGGACAGGTGTCTTTTATACTGATAACAAGTTCAAACAGGTGCCATTGATACAGGTAATGAGTGCAGGACAGAGGAGCCTCTTAAAGAAGAAGGTACAGGTCTGTGAGAGCCAGAAATCTTGCTTGTTTGTAGGTGACTAAATACTTATTTTCCACCATAATTTGCAAATAAATTCTTTCCAAATCAGCCAATGTGATTGTCTGGATTTTTTTTTTCTCATTTTGTCTCTCATAGTTGAGGTCTACCTATGATGCCAATTACAGGCCTCTCTCATCTTTTTAAGTGAGAGAACTTTCACAATTGGTGGCTGACTAAAAACTTTTTTGCCCCACTGTACGTGATTCGTGCTCCTGTGGTTTTCACGCCCCTCCCAGCTAGCGGCAGATTGCCTGTCAGTACACCAGTAATCACATTTACCCCTTGATTGCCAGAAGCATGCTCATACACAATAAACCTCCATTGCTAGTATAGTGTCTGAACAGATCAATATCTTTGATCAGATCAGCACTATACCACCATTCACATTAGTATAGCATCCCCAAAAACGCAGTGTTAGCAGGATCAGCCCCGGCACTTGCCAGCACTTTAGCCCCTACGCTTACCCCCCCTTCTCCCCCAGTAAGTGAAGTGTCAGTAGGTCACTGATACATTGCACACAAAACCGCAGTGTTCGCAGAATCAGGCCTGATCTCTGTTAGCACTTGCCGGTAAATTTTGATGACTCTCATATGCAGCAGAGTGCCAGTACTAGTGCCGCGCGCTACCTTTTGGTGAACTGGCGAGCACCAGCAGCCTAGTACATCCTGGTCTTTCACATACCAGCACTGCAGTATCACTTGGTGACGTGGCGAGTCCCATAAGTGCAGTACAAGCTGGTGCGATGGCGAGCACATGTAGTGTCCCGCAACCACCAAGAATTCGCAAACAGGCCCGTAGAGCCCCTAGTGCCCTTCCGGATGTGCTTGCAAGTCCAGATTGGCAGCCCACAAATTCTGCAGCACCCATACTTCCCCCATTCACCGCCCAACCCGGAATTCAGGTGGAAACAGCAAATTTAACTACTCCCCTTGATTTTTTGGAGCTGTTTTTCATGGAAGATCTGTATGCATTGATTGTGGATCAAAGCAATTTATATGCACAACAATTTATTGCCGCCAGCCCAAATTCAAACATTGCCAGACCATTCACATGGAAACACATTACGGTTTCTGAATTTACTTTTTTTTGGGGCCTAACCCTCAACATGGGCATTACTAAAAAAAATTAATTGCGGTTGTATTGGTCCACGCACCCGATTCATCATATGCCCATGTTCTCTGCTGCCATGGCCAGGCATAGATATCAGAGTATAATGTGTTTTATGCATTTCAATGACGATACACTCTGTCGTCCTCGGGGTGACCCTGAATTTGACAGGCTCCACAAAATTCAGCCCCTCGTAAATCACCTTACCCAAAAATGTGTCTATACTCCCTAGCAAAACATCTGCGTTCATGAGTCCTTCATTCATTTTTCTGGACGCCTTGCATTCAAACAATTTCTTCCCAGCAAGCGTGCCAGATATGGGGTCAAGATGTAGAATACCTGTGAGAGGGCAACAGGCTATACATATAAGTTTAGGATTTACAAGGGAGAAGTTAGTCACGTGGAGCCCCCCGGATGCCCAGACTACATGGGGGAGTAGTGGCAAGATAGTGTGGGACTTGGTGTCATCCTTTTTCTATATGGGGTACCACTTATACGTGGACAAATTTTATTCAAGCATGCCACTATTTAGACATTTGTACAATCTTGGAACTGGCGCATGTGGCACCGTGTGACCTAATGTGTGCCCACCATTAGAAGTGAGAGGATGCAGGGCGGTATATTCTAATGGTGGGCATACCACACACTTTTTCTGGCAGAGATTTCTTTTCTTTTTTTCATTCAGCCCACAGGCTGCATACAAAAAAAAAAGAACATAGCATATATACCCAACAAGGATTAGCGATGTACTGGTACATCACTGCACTTTGAATGGTTATACCAAGATGATGCCTACAGTTGCAGGCATCATCCTGGTATAATTTTTTTCAGCCGGCGATCAACTTTCATCTAAATGCAATACTAGTGGCTAATTAGCTGCAGGATTGTTTTAACAAGCAGCGGGAAATGATGACCCCCCTCCCCCGCTGCCTTCCACGACACCAAAATAAATTTACGTCCTTTTTCCCCACGAATTGAGCTTGCTTTCGGTGGTATTTGATCGCCTGTGCATTTTTTATTTTTTTGCGTTTTAAAAAAAAAAAAGTTCAACAATTTTGAGAAACAATATTTTGGACTTTTTGCTTTAAAACATGTCCAGTACAAAAATTTAAAAATTACATTTCGTCATAAATGTTGGCCAAAATGTATTCTGCGACATGTCTTTGCTGAAAAAAAAAATCCCAATACATGTATATTAATTGGTTTACGTGAAAGTTATTGCGTTTACAGATGGTATAGAAACCTGATTTTTTTTTTCTGTATACTAATAATAGTGGTGATCAACGACTTATGGCGGGACTGCGGCGAACATTCTGACACGGAGGGAACTGACTTAGGGTCACTGACATCCCCAGTGACACCAATACAGTTATCAGTGCACAAAAAAACACTGACACTGTACTAATGGCATTGGGGAGGAAGGGGTTAACATTTGGAGGCAATCAAAGGGTTAACTGTGTGAGGGATGTGTTTTACTAGGGGGCAGGGGTGTGTACTTTTCTGTTACAGACTGTTCCGGAAGGCTGAGCGCAGCGATCCGGAACGGTGTGCTGAAAACTGACAGGAGGAGATCTGCATTGAACACAATGAAGCCTTCCTCCCCGTCAGTGTTTTCTGGCAATCGCCAGGCTCCGGAGGGTAATCACCGGTAGGGACCCGGTGATTGACACCCGCGGCCGCGATCAGTGCCA